GTTAAAACCATGCATGGTGTTGAAAAAAAAACACTTGTTATACTTTCTGTCAGTTGACAACACTGAGGTTAATTTAGCAAATAGGCTGTTTACTTTACAAGTTACATTTTGCAATGGAATTTCCCCAGAGCTTAGTGAAAGTGGTGAAATTTCACTTTGCAAAGAACTGGGTAGTCATGCGCATGGGAAATTAAAAAACAGCATTTTTGCTTGTGCATATATTGGATGATGGGAGTCAGCAGACCTTCCCCCTTATTCATTACGTTCTGGGAATAATTCCCTTGCAAAGTGAACGGCCTACTTGCCTTTATTAAATCAACCACATCCCGAGGTGAACATTGAGTGGATGAGCACTTCAAATGTATAAGAGTTCCTTAGAATAATCTTTGCTTATAAAAATAACAAGTAAGGAATGAATTTATATCTATGGAAATCTGCCACATCAGTCATGAAAAGCATGGTGTGAATTTTTATTGTTTGTGGAGCCCACTGAAATCATCAGTGTAAATGACAAATGGCTAAATCCTCTTTTCTTTACAGAGGACTAAATATTTTGACATTTTTTTTGCCTGGAAAGTCAGACAATGAAAAATAGTCTAATAAGAAATGAACACCATTGTGTTCATAGGGTGCCTGATCCCGGGATTTAAAAAAAAAAATATTGTCTCCGTTATATATTTAAATGATAATTCGCCTGCTATAAAACCTTTTTCTGCAAAGATCTTTCAGATATATTAGTGGTTGGGTAATGTTACATTGGGTTAAAACTTTTACTATTAGCACAGCCATATTGAATATTATTTCCTGGATGTAGATGGGTTGTAGCCTCCCTGGCGGTATTCCCGAGTGTAGCTCGGGGTAAAGTTTCAGTACCACAAGCGGTAACCCCGAGCTACACTCGGGAATACCATGCGGCGTTGCTGTTCTTCTCTTACCTTGTCCTGCGCAATGTCCCTCCTGCAGTGTCCCCTGTAATGTCCTCCGGCGGATGCCAGCATCTGTCTTCTGGGTTCCTTCCCCTGCGACGTCGGGACGCACAGGGACGGAACGGCGGGAAATTTGAAAATAACAAAAAGTGACATTCACTAAATTCACTAAAATAACATAGTAAAGCACTACTGTATGAAACAATTTCACATACATTTTGTCCCTAGTGCTTTGTCCTGTGCCCTGCCTGCATTTTTACTGTTCTTTCTGCCTGGAAACTGAGAAACGTCCATGGCGTCCAAAAAGCGTCCCTTTAGGTCAAAAGTGGTTTTAGACCAGCTAGAGAACAGCGATAGTAAATTAGAACCACTTGCAGAACTGAGTGATAATGATTCGTGGGGAAATTCGTCATCAGACACTGAAAATGATTTTGCGACTTTGCTCAGTGATGTGCGAACTTGGCGCTATATTTCAAATTTCAGTGTTTTTGGTTTCATTATATTATTGAATTAAATTTATTATTATATTATTATTATTTTTATGATTATTTATTAAATTATAATTTATGATTTCGTGTTTAAAATTTTAACATACCCGGGATGTTTACTAGACTCTTGTTTGGACAGATTTCAGTGAGTTATTCCTAAAAATTACAGGCCTACAATAAAAAAAATACATATTTCCATGCAAAAAAATGTACCGCTTTGAGCACAGAAATATGGACATAATCAGAAGACCGCTAGGGAGGTTAAATAATAATATTTGCATTAATGAGTGTTTATTGTTTCCAACTGAAATTCCATTTTAAGGTATCGTAAAGTATATTTAAACCCAATAACTAAATAAAAAATGTAATACTACGCAGTATTACAGCTTTCTAGTCCTTAGATGTAGTGACGGCATTCGTTTCTTTTTTTCAGGCATTTTTGCCTTCATTGTCATCTGGCAATCCTGTAAATTACATACTTCCTGTGCCTTTGTGCTTACACTGTTTTCTCCACTGTATAGGAGCCATGGTTGTCACACAGTCTTGACCACAATAATGTTTTCCTTTGTTCACCTTCATTACAAGGGGGATTGATGGGACTAGTAGTTTACATGCAAACGAAAAGGATTTGTGTGTATTCTGTTGGGCTCTGTTCACATTTGGCGATTTTGGATTGCGGGCAGAACTGCGGTGATTTTGCCAGCGATTCTGAATTGCACTGCAATCATGGCAAAAAGCGCCACAAGTGTGTGGGTGCAATTTTTATTTGGTTTTGCAGTGATTGTTGCATGATTTGTTTTCCTTTCCTTTAATAAGTGGGCCAACAAGCCCTTAAACAATAATTTCTGGTGTGAACTCTACTCACTGGTAAATAATATTACCCTGAGCTAAACAACCCCCCAAACTTTACAATACATATACAGTGTATATATATATATTTATTTATTTTTTAACATACTGTCGACAGTCAGTGTTCCTGATCACTGCCACACCAGTCATATGGTGACGCTGCACTGGTCTGCTGGTAGTATGTAAAAGAAAATATTGTGGAAAAAATAATAATTTTTTTAGTTTTTCAAAAAATGGTGGCAAAAAAATTAAAAAAATTCAGCATGCTTCTTACTAAATACCGTTGTGTGTCTACTTTCCAAACAGGGGTAATTTGGGGGGTATTTGTACTGTCCTGGCATTTTAGGGCCTCAAGAAATGAGATAGGTCATCAGTTCATCAGGACTGACCAATTTAAAAATATTGGGAAAAGCACAGGGACCAGTGGTGGACCTGCCAATTTTGGTGCTCAATGGCTCAAATGCCAGTCGAGCTCTATGGAGCCAGGCAGTGAGTACAGGGCCCACTAGAGGACGTCGAGCCCTCAGGCCACCCTCATGAAGACTGTTTCTGATTGTTTGGTCAGAGACATTCATACCAGTGCAGCACTGAAGGTCATTTTGTAGGGCTCTGGCAGTGCTCATTCTGTTCTTCCTTGCACAAAGGAGCAGATACCGGTCCTGCTGATGGGTTAAGTACATTCAAGGCCCTGTCCAGCTGTACTAGAGAAGCTGCCTGTCTCCTGGAATCTCCTCCATGCTCTTGAGACTGTGCTGGGAGACACAGCAAACCTTCTGGCAATGGCACATATAGATGTGCCATCCTGGAGGAGTTGGACTGCCTGTGCAACCTCTGTAGGGTCCAGGTATCACCTCATGCTACCAGTAGGGACACTGACCCTAGCCAAATGCAAAACTCATGAAAAACAGTCAGAAAAGATGAGTAGGGAAAAAAATGTCAGTGGCCACCACCTGTAAAACCATTCCTGTTTTGGGGGTCATCTCATTGTTGCCCATCTAGTGCACCTGTTGTTAATGTCATTAACACCAAAACAGCTGAAACTGATTACCAAACCCTCTGCTACTTTACTGACCAGATCAATATCCCAGGAGTTTAATTGACTTGATGCTATACTCTTATTAACAAGTGTTCCTTTACTTTTTTTGAGCAGTGTATATATACAATGGTTTGTAGACTCTATAACTTTCACATAGAGTAAATAATATACTCTGATTTGGGTTATCTTTATCAAATAAATGTAATAGAATACATTTTGGCCTAAATTTACAAAAAAGATTATTTAATTGCAAAATCTTATAACAGAACCTAAGAAAACGTGGTTTTTTTTTCAAGATTTTAGGTATTTATTTTCTTTATATAGTAAAAAAAATAAAAAATCCAGCGGTGATTAAATTCCACCAAAAGAAAGTTCTATCTGTCTCAAAAAATGATAAAAATGTTATTTGGGTACAGTGTTGCATGACTGAGTAATTGGCATTCAAATGACAATGCTGGAAAATGAAAATTGGCCTGGGCAGGAAGGGGGTAAAAATGTCCAGTATTGAAGTGGTTAGGAAAAAGGTGTCATGACTGATTCTAAGAATTTTTGGACAGCCTAAAGTTGACCATACATGGATCAAAATTTGACCTCTATGGTATAGGAAACCAGAAGCAATGAACGTTCATCACTTCTGATTTCGCCAGATGTAAACAACACCATTGTTAAATTGGGAAAGCATCTGGTCACACCAACCTTGGTCAGATGCTGTAAAGCACAGGTGTCAAATTGGAGGCCCTCCAGCTGTTGCCAAACTACAAGTCCCATGAGGCATTGCAAGGCTGACAGTTACAAGCATGACTCCCAAAGGCAGAGGCATGATGGGACTTGTAGTTTCACAACAGCTGGAGGGCTGCCAGTTTGACACCCCTGCTGTAAAGGTTACCTGCCACTGCCTATCGTTATCACAGGGCATATTTATATTCTGTGTGATAACAATTAAAGTGATCAAAAGGAAAAAAAAATAAAGTGACAATGTAAAAATAAAATGTTTCTTTTAATTATTAAAAAACAAATTAAAGTGCCCCTGTCCCCCCAATGCTCGAGTGCAAAGGTGAATGTCCCACTCATGTGAGTTATCACCGTGAACATCAGATCAAGGGCAGTACGTCTAGCACCAGGCCTGTGTAAATCTAAAGTGGTAACCTGTAAAGGCTTTTAAAGCATTGCCTATGGATAATAAAATGTACTTTGTTTGTTGCTGTTGCACGGGCATGCGCAATTTTGAAGCATATGTTTGGTATCTTTTTACGTGAGTAACATCATCTTTTATTATTAACCAAACAATTGGGTATTATATTGTGTTTTTGTGCATTTTTGTATTTTTTAAATACAAATTGAGTTAAAAAAACAGCTGCGTCAACACCGTGTGACAAAAAATTAGCAAAATCCACCATTTTATGCTGTAGGGCCTCTGCTTTAAAAACATATATACTGTTCAGGGGTTATAAGTAATTTTTAAAAAAAAAAATACAGATTTTTACATGTAAACAAAAAGTGTCAGAAAAAGCTTGGTCTTCAAGTGGTTAAGCAACTAAAATGCACTTAAAAAGGTAACCGTCAATTTAACACAGTTATACTATGTTAAAGTGTTACAAAACCCACAACAGTAAAATCAGTCTGTATATGCAGTAAAGCATGCTTGTTATACTCACTTTGCAACCTAAGGGGTTAATCCTTTGCATTGTGTAAAACCGCAGTTTGATCCTGACTTCTCTGATCCTCCCCTTCTTCCAGTGTCCACCTCTTATATCCTGATAAGACATATGATAAGACATATCGTGTGGAGACACTCTGCACATGCTCAGTTTGGGTGTGAATTGCTACAGAGATTTTTTTTTCTTGGGAGAGTGCATGTGATCAGCACAGGGCCAATCAGCACTGTCCAGACAGAGGTCAGGGGTTCTGCATCCTTCTACAGCAAAATGAAAACTCCTCCAACAAGCTTTATCCAGTGCTCTGCTGGACACTGACAGAAGTCACAAGATTGCTCTAACTGCTGATGAGAAAAGGTATTTAGCAGTTTATATTTACTAAAATAGCTGCACTTCCATGTTCTGTGTGCTGTGGGAGACCGGATATAGTGAATGCAGGGTCCTGGGTTTAGTAACACTTTAATTCAAACTGGTAGGTTAATTGGCTCCTGTCTAAATTGGCCCTAGTATGTGTATGTATGAATGTAAGTTAGGGACCTTAGATTATACATCCCTTGAGGGTTAGGGACTGATGTGAATGTACAGTATATATGTACAGCGTTGCGTAAATTGATGGTGCAATATAAATACCTGTAATAAATAATAATAAATAATAAACAAATAAAAAATATAAAGTAAGTGTTATCCTAATTTGTCTGCAAATCATGCTTATCATGGTGTGTCAGCTTTGTGAACTGAGCCTATAGAATGATATGAGTACATTCTATGCATCATTAGTATACAGTAACCCAAGTCTCATGTGAAATGCCCGGGAAATGCATTGCAACAATATATCTGAAGATAGAATGTCAAGAACAGGATACTCATTAATTGTTCCTAACTCAAGAAATCTGTTTGTTTTCATAGAAAATATTGTACCTTCTGTAATAAATCTGTGTACATTTTAAATGCAAGTGACAGGACTTTAAGTATGTAAACAGCATGAAAAGGATATTCTCAAGTAATGAGAGAAGTTACATTATAAAATAGCATATGTGACAGAGGTACATGGGCATTAATATGGTTGTTTTAGGAAATCGAAGTATGAAAACATACAGAGGTAACAGATGTGTCTCTCCTCCCCATTCCCCAGTACCAGCTGTGAATTTCTCTGTAGTTTTTATCTTTCCATTACAAAATGGTGCAATATAAAGTTTGACTGCAGCTGGGCATTGCAGTGTCAGAGTCTACACAATCACTGGGGACACATTGCTTAGAAAACCAGATCACTGATGCACACAATTCATTTCTTTTCATGGCTTGTGCCAGATCTCCAATAAAATAAAGACATGTTTAATGGGAAATAGCAGGATGGCAACTACTGCATAAAAGGGTAAAAGACAGCGAGCAGGGCTGTATTGTAAGAGAAAGATAGCAAAGCAGAATCATTGTGCTGCCCTACTAAACCAGCACCAGTTGGCAGAACCTGCCTATGTATTGAGCAGGGAATTTGCTACAAAATCTCTAAAATTTGCTCATGAAAATTGCTTGAGAAAAATATATTTTTTTTTCCTTTGGGGTGTATTTCAAGTAGTTTTATTGATTTAATTTAACGTTCCATGTACTTATGTTTTTTTCTGTTTTGTGTATTTCAGCATTAGTTGTATAATGTATTTTTTTACTTTTTGTCTGTGAAAACACTAATTAGGCTAATGACGGGTCATTTTCTGCACAAGAGCAGGCCCAGAATAGATTGAAGCAGCTTCTGTAGCCCTCAAGAGCAATTTGGAGCCCATTGCACCTATAAAAACCACTTGAAACCACCTACTAGTACTGAGTAAATAAGCTGTGCCCACATTGAGCAAAAAATCATTAAAATATATCGCTTTCCACCTGTAAAACTAAAAAGGTACATTTTCCTTTTAAAGAGGAACATCACCCCCCTGAGTTTTTAACACCTCTTACTTGTTGTGCAAGGTTGTATTCAATTTACCTATTGATCTGCCCAGGAAATCCAGCTTTATCCTGCTGCACCCCACTGTAACAGGCCGGGACCCACTATATTATTGTCTGACATCATCAATTGCCAGCTGTCTTTTTCAGCTTCTTGGTGCCAGCCCCCAATGACGTGCTACCAGGAAGCAAGGGAAGAAGGGACTAACTTTAACAAGAATGATGAAAGAAGGCAGGGCTACAGTAAATAAAACATATAACAAATAAACAAAAACATTTATTTATGGGGATGGACTGCTTCAAGTAAAAGTCCAGAGGAAAAGTATTTAGGTAAACTATAAATCATTGCATATATTTTAAGTAAACCTTTAGGTTTTGACTTTATGATTAAGCAATTTTCGTGCAAAATGCATTAAAGTTTCTTTAAGTTTGGCTGTGAGTGGTTTCTAATTTGGTTAACCCCTTCACACCGACGCCTCCTGGCTCTTTAAGGGGTTTATGATGCCGGGCGGCGGGGGTTTAGGGTCATGTGACCATCATTATTGGCTGTCACAGCAGTCACATGATCGGAAAGGTCCCGATCACAAGGAGATATCTGTGGGACACCGACACATGTGCTGGGAGTGTTCAGGGCATGCACTATCAGCACATGTTTGTTTACAAATGGTACGCAAACATGCAGCCGCTCGGCATCAAGGCCCAGCCGCCGTACCATCAGCGTGAAGAGATTAAGAAACCCCCAAATCACCAGCAAGCACCATGGACCCACATCTTTTTTGTAAATAAGGTGGCAAACCACAAGTTGCTTCTGTTTTAAAGTGGTTTTAAAGCCTTTAGGTTTTATTACCTCAATGCAGTCTATGTATTAAGGTAAAAAAAACCTTCTGTGCCTGGGATCTCCCCTAGCCCCCCCCCCCCCCTTATACTTACCTGAGCCCCATCATGATCCAGAGGTGTGCATAACAGCAGCGGCTCTCCCGGCTCTGTCCCTCCACACAGAGCAGATCGATAGCACAGGGAGCCATTGGCATCCACTGCTATCAATCAAACTCTGTGGCAAAGAAGGGGGGGGGGGCTAGAGTGAAGATTTTGTTAGGCTCAATTTACACTTGCCATGAATGTTACTTCCTGAAAATGCATTTAAAGTAAAATTTGCATTTTTTATATCCTTGATTCAAATGTATGCACTGCAGATTAGTGTGTTTCTAAAGGAAAACTATTCACACCTACACATGTGCAATGTGAATAATGTTAAAGAGGATGTCTCTTTGGTTCATCAAAGAAATCACAGGAGAAAAGTTCCTTCTTCCATAGCAGAAATCCCCTTTTCCCATGGGCCTCCTCAAAAAGCACCTCAGCGCTCTACCCAAGCTCCAACACAATTCTGCCCTTCCTTTTTGACATAAGACTTGGAGCACAAAATCCACCAAGTCTACTTCAAAGTCCTTCTAAATGAAGGGACACCCTTACTCCTAAGAGTGGAGGATGTGTGTTAAACTTTGCATTGCTCTGGGTCACAGACATCTCAGACCTTAAGGTATCAAAGGGGTACAAAATAGAGTTTCAAACTCTACCTCCTCACTGTTTTCTTCTCTCAAATCAACCAAAAAATGCTTGAGTACAGTTTGGTATGGAATCTGCAAGGTCAGTTGTTGCATCTTGAGACAAAGGGAATACCTGGCATCTGTAGACGTCCAAGATGACCCATTTACCCACCTCATCAGCCCTTTCTGGTGTGAATTGGACCTTAGGGCCCACTGCAGCACATTGATTGTGAACTGTCTGCCTTAAAGCAACACACATTAAAGCACTTGCATGAATGTACCGCAACATATCAAATAAGTCTTATTGAGCCCTAAAGTGTTTGTGCATGTGTTCACGTTCATCTAGGTATTTCTATATTTTTGGCATTATACACCTGCCTTGTGGAAATTGTAGAACACTACAACAGTCTTGCATTCAAAAAACTAAAAATCACATTTCAAGCACAAAGAAGGAGGCTTTCATATACTGTACTCTGAAAGAAAGGAATAAAGCAAGAAGCATTTCTGTTTTATTTAATGCACATTGAAACATTATTATTATTATTATTACTACGAGTTTATATAGCGCCAAAGGGTTTGCTCAGCGCTGTACAATAGGGGGGACAATATATGGCACAGTACAACAACAACAAACAACGTACGAGGGGTAAGAGGGCCCTACTCTTTCGAGCTTACAATCTAGGAGACATCACATATAACTGGAATATTCACTCTTGTAAATCAGGCTTTGATGGTTCCAGCTAGCTGTGCTTGTTATACATGCTTAAAGAGGATATATAGTCTTTTATAAAAAAAATCAGCAGCTATAAATACTGTAGCTGCTGACTTTTAAGAAACAGACGCATACTTGTCCAGGTGTCCAGCACTGTCATCACCCAGGCTGGTTCTTTGCCGTTTTTTGGATCCCCAACATCGCCATTTTTTCTTGTGGGAAGCCGGCTGTGACTTTCTTCTGTTTCATAGCCGGTTCCCCACTGTGCATGCACAAGATGTGCATATCAGACTGGTCCTGCATCCTCCTGAGACATGTGCTGTGTTTTCAGGAGGTTATTGGGTGGGAGGGGGGGGGCAGGCAAACTCCTAAGAGCATAAGTGGGAGTGGGTACAAGTCAAAAATAGGTACCTGCTCCCAGACAAAAATAAATACTCCAAAAGCAGTGGTGCGGGGAGGAGGAAATGCTGAATTTCCAGTTTTAGGTGAAGTTATGCTTCAACACACTGGCATACAAGATAAGCACCTAATAGATATCCATGGGCATGTATCAAACATGTCATATTCAAGTAGCAATTTGCAGCCAAATATAATATGCTGATTTAAAACAAAGAGTTGGATATATGGTCTCAGTGGGCCGCCACCACCGAGCAATATGTATTAAGAGTTTTTTCTTCTTAATGCTGCAGACAACACTAAAGTGGGGGAAAAAAATGTTCAGCATGCTCCTACTCTTCCAAAAACTCTGTTCCCCCATTCATTTAAATAGATTGTACTTTGCTTGCTTTAGATTCCTGAAGCAAGTGAAGTGCAGAGAACATTTGTAAAGCAAGGAGCTGCAAGGTCATACCACTGCTTTATAAAGCAGCCCTTAAATAAGTAAAATATGTAATTTCCATATGCTTTTCTGCATGAAAATAGCTTCTGGTAACTTCCAACAACACTGTCTTATTACTGTCTCACATACAAGACAATCTGCAATAAGAACATCTTATATAATGTAACAAGACCACAGGCAGTATAATGATAGTAATTGCATTACCTTTAATGCTACAGCTAGCACTGTCCATTAAATTTGATCAAATCAGTGAACAGCAATGGATGTTTAGACAAGACACGTACAATGAAATTGTGAAGACGAGATATATAGATTTACTGTTTCACAGATAATGGCTGACTGATTTGCTGCTGCTT